ACTGTTTGATTTTTTTTTTTCCAATGGAATCTCCAATGCCTCCCTATTACAATGGAAAACATAGTTGGGAACAAATCTTTCATAAAATTAGATACACACCCGCAAAGTAAACTCTGAAGACCTCAATCATGTTGAGAGGCTTTTCTCAAGATTTGTTACAAAGATCTTTCAATCCCACTTCCCATCCCTCAACCTCCACCCATTTCACTCAAGGCACTAAAAATTGGCATTAACAAAGAAATTCCAGAAGCCTGAGCATTTTATTAGCAAAGGGAAATCCCAACCTTCTTGGCCTCATTTCTCATGATGACAGCTCATTTTTCCATGTGGAACCACGTACTTGTTGCTGCAAATATTTAAAGAGGTAAAGGAGGCACTTTCAAAAGAGAGTCGTAAAAGATATAAATAATGATGATTTAGAACTGTGCTCATTTTATAAGCATAAAAGTCAAGTGTATCCATTTTTAAAACTAGAATGAAAAATTTATAGTGTTCTTATGAAGCCTCAGAGCCAGGCCACAGGCATTCTCCTGGGTTCTGGAAGCAATGTGGTTACGCATGTTAAGGGTAATTTTGGAAAATGAGACACTTACGTGCTCCACAGCTGACCCACTGTGTTACCCATTGCTCCTTTCCAACCAACCTGACAAATCCTACCCAAATGCCAGGCCTGGAAGAAGCCCACCTCTCTAAACCTCCCCCAATTTCTACCATGAATCACCCCTCTGAAAATCTATAGCATTTATCACAAAGACCCCACAGTTGAACAACTGGTTTTACCATATCGAAGCTTCCTTTGACACATAAACCCAATTCTATTTGTATTCTGCCTCCTTTATTTCTTTCATGCACTCTTTCTTCTCCCATCCCGGCTTATGAACATAAACACAAGAACCATTATTTCACATTTCTCCTGTGTCCTCTCTAGTGTCAAACTCAAGTTAAGGACACTGAAAATAATGGTACAGTTAGAACCTAAAAATGTCATCCCCTGTAGAACAAGTGCTACAGAACTCTCTTTGGCCTTTGTGGGTTACCTGCAGGGTTCCAATACGGAACCATGGCCATGGAATTAGGCGCATTTCCCATTACACTCATATAAATCGTCTTGACTTGGCAGTAATAAGTGTTCCAAAAAGAAGACTTGGTTTAAATCCCCCACCCCGATGGTCCTAGAGGCGCACCAGACCATCTATGGGCGACTCCTTTGGGCCGCTCTTGTCTTTTTCACTCCAGGGATTTGCTCTCAACAGCCACAATCAGCTCAGGCAGCAGACCTCCCAGACACAGGCTGGCTGAAAGGCAGGCACACCGCTGGGTCAGCTGCCTTCTCTTTATGAAAGCACGAACATGATCTGCTGTCTCTCTTCTGCCTACCCCCCAGAAACACAAAGAACCCTTTCTTCTCCTTTCTCCTTTCAACCCCACACAAAGACAAGCAAGAAAATTTGCTGGTGGGTGGTTTGGGACACTTCTCTGAGAGAAAGAGAGGGAGACCACTCACTCCAGGTAAAGATTAGAGTGTGGCTCCCTGAACTGAATAGAAACAGATTAAAACTTGTTTTTCTTGTAACAAGCAATACAAGTATGTGCACACACATCCACAAAAGCTCAAACTGAAAGGCAGGCGGTCGGCAAGCCTCCCCTACACCTGCTCAGAGGCAGCTGTCACCAGAGCATCCCGTCCTCCAGCCCGCCCCGACTTTTCCAATCCCACTCTCTACCCTGGGCACCTGAATAAGAGACAGACTATTTGCCAAGCATCTCCTGAGCCCCAGGCCCTATGAGGTATGCTCTCTGGCCACTGGCACCTTAAGCTGTCACAAACCTGATGGAGTTCTTATTATTTTCTCCACCTTTGGATGAAAAACCCCAGGTTCAGGACAGGGAAGGGAATGGCCTCCGGCCACACATCTAGACCCCCCAATTCACACCCCCTAGCTACTGCCTACAATGTTATGCTCCATAAAGTCAAATCTCCCCTCGCCCCCAACTCCCGTTTCAAGATAGCTGGGTGCTAGATTCAAGCTACTTTCTATGAGCTAGAGTCCTGAGAGCCCAGGTAAGCTCCTGTACCTTCCTAGGCCTCGGTTTCCTCGTCTGTAAAATGGGCCTAACAATCATACCTACCAAGTTAGGTCAGCGGCAAGAGCAAACCAAGCTCACGTGCAGTGCCTGGCAGAGCACCTAACAGAGAGTAAATCCTCGCTGAAGGCCAGAGGGTGCTGCCACACGGCTGGTTAACAAACTGGGTTGGAAGCGGTTTTCTTATTTGTTTTTTTGTTTGTTTTGTTTTGTTTATTTCCCCCATATATCTATGCAGAGGTGTGGTGCTGGGAAGCAATTTGGGACCAGTCTGATATTATTTGGCCCCCTTATTCCAATTTCCTTTGCTCCCCTCCCCGGCTTGCTCCTCTAACACTTCTCTACACTAACTGCCAAAATCTCAGTCTTTCTGTTGCCAAATCCCAAACGCTTTTCATAGTGTTATTACTGCATTTTTTCTTCATGAAAATATTTCAGGTTTTATTTAAAACCTGAACTAGGTTCCAGCAACACCTTCCCGACTACCTCCACTTTTTATTTTTAAGCCCACTCCCAGCTACCCTGTTCACATATTAGGAAGCTTTAGACTGATTAAACTTCGCTAAAATAGGCCCTCCCTGGTGGCACTGCAGGTTAAAGCACAGCACTAAGAAGCTAAAGCCACTTCAGCGTGAGTTTGATCCCCCGCCCTGGAGGAAACCCACATGGCACAGACCTCTCCTGACCCGCCCGCTGCTCCCCTCAGCAGTGTACTTCGTCGATCTGCCTGTTCTGCTCCCCACTCTGTCTCTGGTGAAGCCTCTCGCTGCCCCTGAGCCTCTGGCCTGTACCCCAGCTCTGTATACATAAATAAATAAATCTTTAAAAAAATTTTTTTTTGCTAAAATAATGTCAACTTGTATGAATGGAAGCGACCCAAATTCCTTGGAATGGAAAACACGTTTGCTTGTCAGACAATTTACAGACCCGTTTCCATGCCACTTGGCTGGATGGCCACTTCACCACCTTTTCCTTCTTAAGTGAAAGCACAGTCAGACATATAGACTGTGGTGTACTCCAGAAGCCAGGGAGGCTGCAGAACTTTCTCAGGCGAGTGGCAGGAGCAAGAGGCAACGTAAGTACAAAGACCCAGGCCCTCACCTGGATACAGGCCAGTGAATGAGTCTGGTGAAGTCAAGGCACATTCTCCGGGTATGCTAACTTACCTAACATGGGAGGGGGTGACATGTGTCAACCTTGAGGAGTTAGTGCTAAGTGAAATCAGTCAGGTTTCACTTATGTGAATGAGAAAGAAACAAAATAAACAAAAACACCTGGATTATAAGAACAAAATGGTAGTCACCAGAGAGAAAAAGGGAAGGGGGATGGTAGGTGGAAACTACACTTTCGGTGGGATCACTGTGTAGTCCCTAAGTTATATGGGGTGGGAAGAGCACACGGGACTATGGTGAAGTCCATGGGGATTAGAACCGAGATGAAAAAATGGACAAAATGAAGAATGATGTGAAATATATGTGTATACACATACATAAAAAAATTTTTACAGGTGACCTAGTTATAATGGTTTTCCCTGAAACAGATCAAGCTTTAAACCAATGTGACTTTAATTAAAAAAAAAAAAAAAGTTTTTTAAGAATGAGCAGGTGAGAACAACATTGTCTTAAAAGCCCTTCCATTTCTGGGCCTTCCCAGAACAGGTTAGGATGCAGCACTGCAAGCTGGCCACAGCCGCTTCAGTGCAAGTTCGATCCCCGCCTGCCCCGGAGGTGACCACATGGCGTGGCAGACCTCTCCTGACCCACCCGCTGCTCCCCTCAGCAGTGTACTTTGTTGATCTGCCTGTTCTGCTCCCCACTCTGTCGCTGGTGAATCCTCTTACCACCCCTGCACCTCTGGCTTGTACCCCAGTTCTGTATGAGTAAAATAAATAAATTTTTGAAAAAAAAATCCTTCCACTTCTAACTTTAAGTAAGACAACACATCATAGTTCCACCAACATCTTGTCCCGTCTGGGTCTCAGCCGGGAAGTAATGAATCCACATGTCACCATGCTGTGACGGGCCACAGTGCGGGCCCAAAAGAGGAGTGTATGTGCCATGGTAGTCTTGAAGGATGCAGCCCCCATCCAGGGCTCAAGTGCACTGGGCGTTAAGATGCAATCCCTGCAAAGCAGTAAATCCAGCTCACCTCTACTTACTCAATGTTCAGTGACATGATGGACTCATCATGAGGGTGTCGTACCTAGACCGCACTCCAAAAACTCATCCATGAATTTCTCCCACGGAACAATACTGCTAGAAGCATCTGGAGCATAGCTAGTCTGAGAATGGAATCCCTGCAGTTTTTAAGAGGGGGCCTTTGTTAAAACATCACTATGCATAATCCCACTGCTGTTATCTTTTCTCTGGGAGACCTTGTTTTATAATTCTGACATCATAACTGCTTCCTCCAATCCAAAGTCTTTTACGATGAGAGTAAGAACCTCAGGAATTCAGAGGGAGTAAAGGTACCTGCAGCAAGAGATACTGTTGTTTACCACAAAGGCCTTCACAAAGTTTGAAAACAATTTCCCAAAAGCCAAAAACAAACCATGCAAATACCTCCTTCCTGAGCCATTCCCATGGGACAAACTTCTTGGAAGCATGAAATTCTAAATCAGGTGTGGGGGATTTTAGAAATGACGGTTTTTCTTTAACTCTTTAGTGTTTAATCAAGCTAGTCCTTTTTCTACAAGGCTCAGACCCCAGAAATTTTAAAATGCCACCGGTGACACAAAGAGCAACGAATTCCCAGAGCCCGTCACTCGCAAAAGCCACGCCGGGCAGGGGCCTAGACCTGAGCCCAGAGCTGAAGTCTGTCGCTGATTAACCTAGAGGCTCATCAACGCTGGAGGCAGGAGCAGCAGCTTCTGCAGCTCCAGTGAGCACGCAGGGGCTGAGTCACCGAGTACTCACATCGCTCTTCCTGAACTTCGCTTTCAAGCTCTTCATGGTTAGTCCATCCAGCCAAAAACTCTAGAGGAGATTTTTCAATACCTAGGCAGAGAAAAGAAACAAAGTTAAGCATCTTCCTTCCCTGATTGAATGGTCATTTTGGCCCACAAGTAGGTGACTGGTGTTGGGCTGGTTAAGAGCTGCTTGGGTCCTCCCTGGTGGCACAGTGGGTTGAAGCACAGTACTAGGAAGCTGAACGCAGCCACTTCAGCACCCGTTCGACCCCCAGCCAGGAGGGTGACCCACATGGCGCAGCAGACCTCTCCTGCCTCTCCCGCTGCTCCCCTCAGCAGTGTACTTCATCCATCTGCCGGTTCTGCTCCCCACTCTGTCACTGGTGAATCCTCTCACCAACCCTGCACCTCTGGACCTGTACCCCAGTTCTGTATTTATAAATAAAAACAATAAAATCTTAAAAAAAAAAAAAGCATGCTTAACTAGAACTTTTTACATGTACCCTAGAACTCTACATTATCAAAGTTAACCAAAACTTTACATGTCCCCAAACATTAGAAGTAGAACAAGTCTCACTGCTTAAATGTCACAAAATACAGTATTGGTACATTGAACTAATTTGTCCACACATCTTTCCATTACAGTCCTACCTGCCTCCTTCGAAAGGCCATAATAGCAAATAAGGAAAACAGCTCATATTCCAGATGCCATTCATTCCCTATTTATTTTTCTCAGTGTGTTTCCCTCCTAAATGCACAGGGCAGTGAGTATTAAAAAAAAAAAAATGCCAGAAACAACAAAGCCTCCCTCATCAAATAGCTCATTCCTCAGGAGATGTGGCAGACCTCTCCTGACCCGCCCGCAGCTCCCCTCAGCAGTGTACTTCCATGATCTGCCTGTTCTGCTCCCCACTCTGTCTCTAGTGAATACTCTCACCCCCTGCACCTCTGGCCTGTACCCAGTTTTTGTGTGCATAATTTTTTTGTTTTTTTTTTAAAGGAGGTCACTCTAACCAGGAGCCTCTCCCAGTCTTTAGGGGACCCAGAAATTTCCTGTAAAAGCAGGAAGTATCAATAAGAAATCACTTTATTTAGGAGAGCTCTATCTCCTGGACAGTGGTGTTAATTATTGTTTAGGATGTGCTTTTGTCCAGGGAAGAAATTCTTGACTTTCACTGGACTCTGCACGGGGTGGCTAGGCTACCCCTCTGAAGTTCACATTATTGTTCAGTCCAAGCCCTTTTCCAGAGATGGACACTTGTTGAAGTTAGAAAATACCTGTGTTTATGATAGAATTCAGATGCAAACCCCAAATTCTGACTTAGAATTTTTTTTCTACCACGTTTGGTTTTAAAGCTAAAGCCAAAAGGTGGAATCCTGTGCTCAAAATACAGATCCCACTTTAACTGTTCATCCTTAAACCTAGAAAAAGTACAAAGCGTGGAATCTTTCCACTGAGGTCAAAAGAGCAAGAACACGTTTGTTCAAGTTTCCATCACTTAGCAAGCGCCTGAGAAATGTGACTTCACGCTTCCCAGGACAGAGTGAGAATGGGTGAATGTGAAGGATATCAGTCCACTTGAGAACTAAGGAATAGTGGTCAAATGCTCACGACAGCTGACCTTCAAGGTCACATGGACTAAACAGATTGGACGAGCAAAGGAGGGAATCAATACAAAGGAGACTTTGTTATTTCTAGGATTATCTTAACTAAGGGAGGGAGTCTGGATGGCCAGACCTGTCCCCCTCCTTTGTCACTCCTTCCAGATGCTGCCCAGAGGTTGATTCTCTGGCTCCTGATGTGTTCGCTTTCATTATTGCTGCTGCCACTAAGCAGGGCCCCGTGGATGAGTAGGATGAAAACTCATCACCAGAAAGCACTTCAGTCTCTCTGTGGCCCCTTCCAGCATCCTCAGTCTCAGCAACAGTGACAGAAAGTGTGTGGCCCGGAAACCGCACCCCTTATAACTACACCTTGCTCCCTCTCTGTCCCCCACCCCCCAAAGGATGAACTGAGAAGGGAAGTAAACACTGTTATAAAATGCACAATAATGTAAACAGATATATAAAAATTTTAAAAATTAAAAAAAAAAAAAAAACTACACCTTGCTGAACACCAAGGATGTAACCACAGAGAAAGCAGAATGGGACAGGTCGGGCTAAGGGCAGACTCTGGGACAGAGTTGACCCCTCATGCATCTGCATCACAAGGACCTGGGGACAATCTGCTGAATGTAAAACCCTAGTCCACATCTGGAATACTGAGGCGCAGGGGCCAGGGCCCAGGAGTCTTCTGGGCTGAATGTTTTGCACACTCAAGTTGAGAACCTAGCATTAATGTAGGCAGAACAAGGAATGTGTTTGTCAAAGCTAAGTTGGCTTGTAAACCTTTTTCATGTCAAAACAAACCACAGTTTGATGAAGCCTCGCTGACATAATCATGATAATCAGATATTCCCAGGCCGCCATTCCTCATAAACCTACATCCGCCAACTGCAGCTAGAAAATGGAAATCAACCTTTGACTTCAGATCCCTCTGCCCTCTGGGCAAAGTACTAATAACCAAGAAGAGGCCAAACCCATGCCACAGGAAGGCAGAGAAGGCTAGGAGGCTCCATCAGCCCCAGCCCACCAAGGGAGAACCCCAAAGCACTCCTTCAGTCACAGAACACCATGTCTTAGACAAGTGGGTAAGACTTTTGTTTGAGGTCATGGGGTTTTTCACTGATGACCTACCAGGTATTTGCCCTTGTTTTTGCTTTGGCCTGACAGGAAGAAATATGGAAACTCTTATTTGAAGAGGATTAAATAAATACTGCAAGTAATTCCAAAAGTTCCAAAGGAAGGTATTAGCTCTGAAATGAGTGTCTGCCTGTAGTAACAGCTCTGAGGTGTGTGAGAGCTGGGTGGTCTATAGGTTCAACTCCAGAGAGACGGAAAACAGGTCAAGGGTCAAGAAGTTCTGGGAACCTACAGCATAGTAACTCCAGAATAAGCAGTATAGTCAGGGTTATTCACGTTATTAAGAGACCACTGTTCTGGCATTCGTGGAAGGACTTTAACACCAGAGGCTCACCTCTGAAATGTGGGTGGGCTCTTTACCCCAACATCTCTTTCGCCAAAGCACCCATATGTCAATCAGGGGCTGACCTTTGTTGAGTCTGCTGGAATCCTCCAGCCCCAGTTCCCAAGTCCAAATTTCCCAAGTCCCAACTGACTTACAGGCACTCTCGAGTAGTGTTGTCTACCTGTTGGAGGGGAACTCCACTAAAAGCTGTCCTTGGAAAAGTCACCCAATCAAGGTTCTTAATTTACCACAGTTGTAGTGAAGTTCAATGAACTGCGCAGCACCAATTTTGGACAGTACAAAGAGGATGAAAGTTTACAAAACTGACTTATGTTCTCCCATTTCAAGCACAAGAAAGAAAATTCACCCAATGAGCAGCAATGTTAGCTGGACCACTCCCTGGCCAATCCAACACTGAAAGATGACTTCTCTCAGTCAGGTCATTTGACCAGGAAGGGTGGACAGGGATACAGAGCCTTCCTTTCCACTCATCGAAAAGTCTGGAGCAGGGTTTATTTACTAATCTGTGCTTCCCTTTAAAAATAATGCAATTCTCAATCACAGATTAACATGAGATTCCTTTAGCTGACGTAAGTCTAGCTTGAAACAAAAAACAGTTACGGTATCCCCTTTGGAGTCTTGAAAATGTCCTACACGTATTATCAAGATAGTTGCGCAACCTATGAACATTCCAAAAAGTATAAATTTCAAGTGGGTAAACTGCACAGAGGTTGAGTTATATCTCATCAAAGCCGTTAAAAAAAAAAAGCTTAATAATTGCCATTAATATCTCCAGCCCATATATATATAGAGAAAAAAGTACCTTTCTCCTTCGCTACCCTAATCCTACCCATGGACCCACAGACACCTACACGTGACCCACAGGTACTTCCTCAGGCAATGGTGCCAATGTGGGTCCTCTTGGAGCCTCAGATATTCTGATTCTCTAATCAAAAGTGTGGCTAGAAATCTGTTATTTTTTTCCCACTCCATGACTTTAATGTTCACCTAGATTGGGGAACCCCTATTCTAGACTCGGGAACTATATATACATGACACATGTTACAGCATAACTTTAACTGACGGTTACATTAAAAATAACCTGGAGGGCCATGTTTATTGCTGCTTTATTTACAATTGGAAAAACATGGAAGCAGCTCAAATGCCCAAAAGTGGATGACTGGATAAAAAAGATGTGGTTCATATATACAATGGAATAATACTCAGCAACCAAAAAAGAGAAACACATGTCTTTCACAGCAACTTGGATGGAGCTGGAAAAGATCATGCTTAGTGAGATAAGCCAGAAAGAGAAAGAAAAATACCGGATGGTTTCACTCATAGCAGGAGTATAATGGACCAGGCGAGAAAATAACAACAATAATGAACAACCATATACCAGAGACATTTTGTGGGGGTGGAGTGGGGAATGGGATCAAAAACGGGGGGGTGGAGGGAAATGCATGGGATTATGGTGATGGCACACGGGTGACTTGGTGATGGGAAACCCGCGGGGATTACAATTGAGATGGAAAAAAAAATGTACAAAATGATGTAAAAATAAACTTTTGTAATAAAAAAAAATTAATTAAAAAAAAAATAATAACCTGGAGGGCCCTCCCTGGTGGGAGGGTTAGCACTATGAAGCTATCAAAAGCCATTGCAGCAGGAGTTCGATCTCAGGCCAGGGAGCTGACTCACATGGTGCAGCAGACCTCTCCTGACCCACCCGCTGCTCCCCTCAGCAGTGTATTTCAGTGCATCTGCCTGTTCTGCTCCCCACTCTGTCTCTGGTAAATCTTCTACCCCCTACATCTCTGGCCTGTATCCCAGTTCTTGTATGCATAAATAAATAAATCTTTTAAAAAAAAGTCTAGCGACACTGTCTACATGGATATGAACGATGAGTATTTTCAAGCATTGACTGTTTAAATCTTTCAAAATATTGGGGGTGGGAGTGTACAAGGGGAGCCCTCTGCACTCTAATTTCCAGGAAAGCAACTAGCTGTTTCTCTCATGCT